GCCGCCGGGCTGCTGTGCACTGCGCTGGCCGCGTACGCCTGCTGGGAACAGCTGCCGCCGCTGCCTTGGTCGGACCCCGCGCCGCCGCGCCAGGTGGGCGTGCTGCTGTGGTGGGAGCCCTTCGGGGGGCGCGGCCGGGCCTCGCGGCCGCTCCCCGACTGCTGGCTGCGCTTCAACATCAGCGGCTGCCGGCTGCTCACCGACCGTGCGGCCTATGGGGAGGCCCAGGCGGTGCTCTTCCACCACCGCGACCTCGTGTGGGGCCCCCCCGACTGGCCCCCGCCCTGGGACGCCCAGGTGCGCGCCGCGGGGGAGCTGCAGCTGCGCGTGCTGGGTGACCCAGAGGAGGCGGCGGCCCCAGGACCCCGGCCCCCGGGCCAGCGCTGGGTGTGGATGAACTTCGAGTCGCCCTCCCACACTCCGGGGCTGCGGGCCCTGGCGGGGAACCTCTTCAACTGGACGCTGTCCTACCGGGCAGACTCCGACGTCTTCGTGCCTTACGGTTACCTTTATCCCAGGAAACACCCTGGCGACCAGCCGATGGGCCTGGTCCCGCCGCTGGCCAGGAAACGGGGACTGGTGGCCTGGGTGGTGAGCCACTGGGATGAGCGCCAGGCCAGGGTCCGCTACTTCCACCAGCTGAGCCAACACCTGCCAGTCGACGTGTTCGGCCGCAACGGGCCTGGGCGGCCGGTACCTGACAGCGGGCTCCTGCACACAGTGGCCCGCTACAAGTTCTACCTGGCGTTTGAGAACTCACAGCACCTGGATTATATTACTGAAAAGCTCTGGCGCAACTCATTGCTGGCTGGGGCCGTGCCAGTGGTTCTAGGCCCAGACCGTGCCAACTACGAGCGTTTTGTGCCCCGTGACTCCTTCATCCACGTGGACGACTTCCCTAGTGCCTCCTCTCTGGCCACCTACCTGCTTTTCCTAGATCGTAACCTGGCTGTGTACCGCCGCTACTTCCACTGGCGCCGGAGGTATGCGGTGCACATCACCTCCTTCTGGGATGAGCCCTGTTGTCGGGCCTGCCAGGCAGTGCAGACTGCTGGGGCACGGACCAACAGCATTCGCAACTTGGCCGCCTGGTTTGAGCGGGGAAGCCACTGAGAATGTGACCACTTCACTGCTGGGCATCTCCTTGACTGCTGCCATTTCATGGGACTGTGTTCCCCAGTCGCCTGTTTTTCTCTCTGGGATTAAGGTGCTTTACTGATTAATATTAATTAGCGCAAAGATGGAGTGGGAAGGATCCTTGGTTCGCGTGGTCTGTCACCTAACTAGCAGTTGTATTCTCTTGTGGATGGGCATCGGGGTGAAGCAGGGCTCCTTTCCATAACCGGTACAGATGTGAAGAGGTAGCTCAGCTACAAAAAGCCTTTGGAAAGGTTTCTTTGAGTTCTTCCTCTGCTGCAGGCCACGTTTGTAACCTGTGCAGCCTCCGCTTCTCACGCATGCTGCTCCCAGGCTAGCACTCGCCTGCACCACGCTGAAGCAAACGCCTGGTATTTATTTTATTTTTGCGGTGCCGGGGCTACTTCCCCGGCCCACCCCGGTGTTTAGGCAGAGCGCTGATGTGAGGCAGTGGAAGGACTGTGTCATCAAGTGGACCTTTTTCGTCGTTGGTCCGATTCCTTACAGCCTCTGCTCCAGGAAAAAGTAAGGAGCACAGTTTATGAAGCCATTGATTTCCTTAACAAGAACTGTTCGTTTTGCGCCCTACAAATGGAAACGAGCTGGATTATCCTTGGAAGAGAAGATGAATATACAGGTGCACCTCACTTTATACAAGAAATGTATTTCTGAAAATCTGCATCTAAATCACATCCCAAACTCAGTGCCCTAAAGGAGTTCGGTATTTAATGGCACCCTATGGACATTCCCTTTATAATGTGACTAATCATCTCCTAATTAATTTCTTCTGTCTTTATTTTTTTCTATCGCCTGAATTTAAAAAAAACATTAAAAGTACAAATGTGAAAATAAAACACAAGCAACTTCTTCTCCCCCTCTTCCCAGCAAAGCAAGGTGTGTTTACAAAGAGAAGAAGGCTATAGTGTCACTTTCTACAAAGTTATTTATTTCATGTCTTATTGGACCCAGAATTTCCATTGGAATGTCAGCCCTTCAGAGGTCCTGGCTTTACCTGTGCAGAACAATGAAGGAAATGCTACTGCACTATGGAGCCATGCCAAAGGAAAGACGTTTCATGGTACCTGTTATGGGTAGTTTTGTTTCTGTCACCTTTCAATGTTTAGATCCTAAGGAATGGAACTAAAACTGATGCCTACAGTTATCTTACTTTGTCCTCTGTTAAAGGCTAACTGCAGTGCTCACTTGGTGCCAGGAGCTTCCCCTGCTAATCTGTAGAGCTGGAGGGCGGATCCTCACATTTCTCATGTCCTTTAGACTGTGCTGCAGGACCAAACTTGGAAATAAATGCCTTGTCTTCATAGATTGTTGATTGCCCAGAAAAGTCAACAGGGATCAGCGAGTGACATGACAGTCCCAAACGCTAGGCTTAGGGCGGTGGGAGGACAGGGACGTGTATAAGGCAACATCTTTCTCTTTAGGGCTCCTACAGTCTACTGCTGCCAAAAGTGAATGGTGACTTTGACAAAACAGCACAACCCACTTGACTAAAGTGGTATTTTCAGTGATACACACTATAAATCAGTGATTAAAAAGCTATCTGATTTAAGGCATAAAATGACCAGAGTTCTCTGCCAAAACAAAGGCTCTCAGTGACTAGTACTAATCATAAAGACTTCATAACCAATCAGGGTCCAAGATTAATTAGTTTTGTAAAGACTTCAATAAAAAGTAATTTTTATTTGATTAGTATGATTAACAGTAATAGAAAGCAAATTTTACCTCTGCACATTTGTTGTATAAATACTTGAAAAGCTCACTGAAAACTAGGTACTTCGATTCTCATTTTAGGAAGTAAGTGAAGATGTCTTAACAGTGGGTTGCTAGCTAAATATATATGAAGTACTTTACTGCGTTAAATAATGTGTATCACATCACCTCTATGTTATATCATATTTTTTGTATAACATATATTGGATCAAGCCTTAAGTTGACAAATGCAGTATTTCTTGCAGTGACTTCAGGTGCCCTCGTAAACCAATTTTATCTGAAATGAAATCTCTAGATATGTTGCAGAATAAATCTGAAATAAAAGGAAGGTAGCTTATATTGTATATTTCAAGGAAGTCCTTAAAGCCATATTTTAAGAATCATTATTACTATTTAAATTAAACTTGAATTTGCAAAGTAGGAAAGAGGTTCTGTACCTTTTTTTTTTTTTTTTTTTTGGTAGTACTAGGGATTGAACTCAGTACCCTGTGCTTGCCAGGCAGGCGCTTATTCTACTGAGCTATCTCCCCAGCCCTCTGTACCTTCTTTGAATAAATTTTTTGTTGTTTTGGTAAATAAATCTATATTGTAAAATTTATATCTGCTGCCAATGTTCTTCTAGTATTAAGACCATTTAAATATAACCATGTATCTTTTAAGTATTTAGCACAAGATAGAATGCATATGTGTGCAACTTGGAGTCACGACCTGAGGATGTGGCTCTGCCACATTATGCCTTTGTGGCTTTAATTACACAAATTGGACATAAACTCTCATGAGTTTTAGCTTCCTTCTTCATAATTCACGAATGTCCCTATAAAGCCAGGATTAAATGATGGTGTGTACCGAGGTTCTTTGTACATTATAAAGTGCTGTGCTGTTTTGAGATCTCTAAATTGCCACAGCTCTAAATCAGGCTTTGGAAATATTTTCTGTGCAGGGCAGAGAATAAATAAATCAAGTTCTTCAGGCCACACAGTCTTTGTTGCCACTGTTCCGCTCAGCTATCGGAGTGCAAAAACAACCACAGACAATATATAAACAAATGAGTGACTGGATTTGGCCCATAGGCCATAGTTTGCTAAGTACTGTAGACTCTTGGTGATGGAAGGAATTTGGATAATTAGCTATACTTTTTTTTAAAGATGGCAGTTTCTCAGAAGGGATTTTTTTTAATTTTTATTTTTTATGTATTTGGTTCAGGGTCTGCAGGGTTTACAGGGTCTCACTACGTAGATTGGACTTGTAGTGATCTGCCTATGTTCAGCCTCCCAAGTGCTGAGAATACAAGCACGTGCCATCACAGCCAGTCTCAATCGCAGTCTCACCCTGCCTCGGAGGCGGGGCCAGCACAGCACACCAGGGATCAAACCCTGGCTGCTGTGTCTGCCTAAGCAGGCGCTTTAGTCCACTGAGCTATCTGGCCAACCCTCTTAGAAGGGATTTGAGGACTGAAATTTAAAAATTTTGGAGTCAGATACTCCTGAGTCCCTATATCAGCTTCACATTTCCTAGTTGGTGATCTTGGGAAAATTATTTGAGCTTTCTGTGTTCTGATAGTCTCATGTTTATTTTTTAAAATTATTTGTGTGTGTGTGTGTGTGTGTGTGTGT